CCTTTTCCTCTTTCTCGCATCCTCCTTTCTCCCTCCCCTCCCCTCCCCCCTCCCAGGTCATCAAGGAGAAGCTGCGCCTGAAGCCGGCGGTGGGCACGGAGTCCCGGGGGCCGCGGCAGGAGAGCAAGCTGGAGGGGCCGGTCCAGCAGCAGGAGGAGGACGAGAAAGCCCGGCTGCTCATCGGCCTGAGCGTGGGCGAGAAGAACCCCAGCAAGAAGTCCATCTTCAGCCGGCGCAAGTGAGCCGGACGCAGCCGCCGCCGCTGCCACGCCGGAGCCCGGCCTGCAGGCGCTCTCGGGGAAGAGGAGGAGGAGGAGGAGGAGGCCCTGCAGGCTGGGCGTTGGACGGAGACTGACGGGGCCCCGAGGGCCCCAAGCGCTGGCGGGAAGGACCAGGCGGAGAAGAGTGGGGGGGGCCCTCGGGGGGGAGGGGGGGAGAGTTTAAATAACAGAGTTTATCATTTGGAGCCGCCTCCTGTCGTGATTCCTCTTCCCCCCTCCCCCCCGCAGCCCTGAATCTGCCAGGGGGGGTGCCGGCCCCCAGACTCCCCCCCCTCCTGCAGCCTTAAGGGGCCCTTGGAGGGCTTCAGTCCAACCCTCCCCCGAAATCCAACGCATCCTGTGTCTTAGTGACCCCCCCATGTGTCTGAGGGGGGCTCGAAGGCAGCCCAGAGGGTGGGAGGCAGGCTCAGGGTTCCCCACCCAACTCGGGGGGGGGGGGGCTATTTGGGCCTTTTAATTGGCTGACCTGAAAACAGCTGCCTCTGAAGCTCCCTTGGCCCCCTCAGCCGGAGGGCTCCTGAGCATGCACAGAGTGTTTCTCCGGGTTCTTCTTTACAATTGTCCCTCTTTCAAAGGGCAGGACTTAGTCCAACCACTTTTCTGTGCGTTGGGTGGTCAGCCACAGGCAGTCCTCGTTCAGTGACCATCCAAAGTCACAGCAGCACTGAAAAAAAAAGCGTCGTAGGGCTGCTTGTCACACTTAACGACCGTTGTGGCATTCCTGCAGTCAGGTGATCAAAATTCAGATTCACATTTATGACAGCCACGGCATCCCCGGGGGGTCTCATGATCCCCTTTTGCTACCTCTCTGACAAGCCCAGTCAGCGAGGAAACAAGATTCACTTAACAACCGTGGCAAGAAAGGTCGTAAAATGGGCCAGAATTCCCTTAACGTCTCGCTCAGCAACAATGAAACAAATATAAATTTTGGTGCTCAGCTGTGGTCGCAAGTCGAGGACTGCCCGTCTTCTGCAGCCGAGAGCCGTGTGGAGATCCAAAGCTCTAAGCGGGCCAGGGGGACCATCCACAGATGGACGGGGGTCAGTGCAGGGGACTCTCCAAGCCCCCTCACTCAAGGCTGCTGGGACTCAGCCGCCACGCTTTTCCACCTCTGAGCTAGAAAAGGCTGCTGGGGTGGAGGCAGCCGGCGCATAAAAATTAAAGAACAGCCAGAGACACGTGAACAATATGAAAAAGTTTCATTATGAAGGTTTTGCCAAAGGGAATTCTGTCCGTGGACAGAAACCATTTTCCCCAGGAGGGCCGGGGTTTATATACAGGCTCAAATATACAGTCTCTGCCCCTTTCCTGGGTTCACACTCTACCCAAGCTACATATCTCCCCTATTATTGTAGCGTAACACCTGTTTCCTTGTCCTTGGAAACTACCCTCGTTCTCACGGCCGTGTCTTCCTGTTATGTCCATCCAAGCACAATGGATCATTAAGAGGTTTCTGCTGGCTCAGGGTGACCCAGCGTCTCTCACCTGTATCTGTAAGCCAACATTACAAACCGCTATTCCAGCCAAGAACTTGACATTTTACTTTCGAAACGTAACAAGTGACCAAACATCATGTGTTCATTAGATCCACTTATATAACTGTCTGGTAATCGTTGCACAGGTCAGCTATCGGATGAACATGGAATCTCTTCCGTTCTTCATTTTCTCAGGTGTAACTTACAACATGTAGTTTCCACATATTAACAGTCCTCGACTTATATCCATTTAGTGGCCATCTCAAGTGACAACAGCACTGGGAAAAGTGACGTATGACTGTTTTTCACACTTGTGACCATCGCAGCAGCCTCCCGGGGGGTGGTGTGTGTCACATGATCGGAATTCAGACCCTTGGTAACTGGTTCATACTTGTGACTGTCGCAGCGTCCCTGATCCCCCTTTAGTGACCTTCCGACAAGCAGTGGGGGAGGGGGAGGCCAGATTCACTTAACGACCATGTGACAACTGCAGTGATGCCCTTAACCCATGTTACTAACTTAACTGCAGTGACTCACTTAACAACGGTGGCAAGAAAAGTCACACAACAGGCAGAACTCAACAGGTTTCTCTAGGTCAATCTGGGGCCCGATTGTGGTCGCCATTTGAGGCCCCCCTGTGCCAATGCAAAGGAAACGGCCCCCCTGCGCATTCAGCCCTCTGCCCGCCTTGTGACAGCCCCCTCGGGGGTTAAGGGGTCCTCGGCCAGGAAGGGGCCTGGTGCCTCCCTCGGCTCCTCTTCTTGGTTCAGCCCAGGTGTGCGGGGGCTCCTTGGGGGGTGGAGGGAGCAGACCCCAGACTCAAAAGGAGTTCCGCCTGAGTGCGGCCCCTTCTTTCCTCTGAGGCAGAGGTGCTGCCTGGAGAATTCTGGGAGTTGAAGTCCACCAGCCTTTAAAAAGTGGCCATGTTTGGGGACCCCTGATTCAAGGGATGCTGCTTGGTGGGGTGAGCCGGGCTCTTCGGAGGCCTTGGGGAGCCCCTGGCCCTCTCCTCCATCATCCTTGGGTTTGGGGGGGTTCTTTTCCTTCCTCCTCCTCCTCCTCTTCCTTCTACTTCACCTTCTTCCCTCCTTTTCTCCTCTTCTTCCTCTCCCTCCTTCTATTTCACCTTCTCCTTCCTTCCCTCCTCCGCCACCTCTTCCTCCTCCACTATCTTCCATCGTTCTTCCTTCCTTTCTCTTCTTTCCTCCTCCTCCTCCTTCACCTTCTTCCCTCCTTTTCTCCTCTTCTTCCTCCTCTCTTCCTCCTCCTCTCCCTCCTCCTACTTCACCTTCTCCTTCCTTCTTCCCTCGTCCACCTTCTCTTCCTCCTCCTCCTTCACTATCTTCCGTTCTTCCCTCCTCCTCCTTCTCTTCATTCTTCTACTTCACCTTCTTCCTGCCTTCCTTCCTCTCTTCCTCCTCCTCTCTCCTGCTACTTCAACATCTTCCACCCTTCTTCCTTCCTTTCTCCTCTTCTTCCTCCTCCTCCCACTTCACCTTCTTCCCTTCTTCCTCCTCTCTCCTCCCTTCCTCCTCCTCAAACCCTCCCTTGCAGCACTGGAGATGTTCCCTAGTTGGGTCACGAAACGTCTGCCAAGAAACGCAGCCCAGCCCAGAGAGCAGCGGGGACCCCCCAGTCCGGCCCTCAGCTACAAATATTCTCCTTTTATTGGCTGTTCCCCCCGCCCCCCCCCTTTGCATAAACACCACCGGACTCTGCCCAGGTGAGGCTTGCACCTTTCCCACCCAGAGGTGCCTTCGGGAGTCTCCAGCCAAGCATCCAGACGTTGCACTGCAGGTCCCATCGGCCCCAGCCAAAGGCATTGTAGTCCAAGCGAAGCGAAGGAGAGCGGAGCATGCGCCCGCGGGCGCCACCGGGGATTTGGAGGCGGGGCAGGAGGCATTATGCAAAAGAGCGGTGGGTGGGTGCGGCTTGGCTTCCCGCAGCCAATCCGGTGCGAGCTCCGCAAAGGCCACGCCTCTTGGGCGGGTTTTCCCAGCCGCGGGAACGTCTTGAATGCCGAGCAGGGGCGGAGCCTAGGAGGAGGCGGGGCGGGGCGCACCACCTGGGTTTTGCATAAGGGGCGTGGCCGAGGGCTGCCGCCGGGGGATTAGCGGAGCGGGGCGGCGGGGGGGGGGGTTACGTAAACGGGATTACCGCGGGGCCTCCGCTCCTCCCAGGGCGCCCACCGGCCGCAGCCCAGATGGGGGCCGCGGGCAGCCACCCCGCCGCGGAGCCGGCCGAGCGGGGCTTCCCCCCGAAGTTGCGGGTAAGGCCGGCGGAGCACGTGCGGAGCGGCTTCCGCGGCCCCCAAATGGGGAGGGGGTCGCGGATCAACAACCCCCCCCCTCCACCCCGCCGTGGAAAATGGGGGGGGGTTCCCCCGGGGTGGCTCAGCTGCAGGAGGGGGGAGCACCGCAAGTGGGGTGGGGGGGCCCCCCCCCCGGGGGGGGGGCGAGGGGGGACGTAAAAGCGAGACCACCCCCTCCGCCCGCCCGGATAAAGAGGGGGAGGGCCGGGGGGGGGGGGACTCCCTCGGGGGGGGGAGGCGTTGAGGGGAAGGGGCGCCTGCGGGGGGCTGAGCCCCTCCTGGCCCTCCAGAAAGACCCCCGGGCGGGCTTCGGGGGAGGGGTCTCCTTACCCTGGGCGGCTGGGAAGAGGATGGGATTTGGAGTCCGCCCGTGGGCTCTGCGCGGGGGGGGGGGGGAACCGAGAGGGGCTCCCTCGTTCCTCCGAGGTTGCGCTGCCCCGCTGGATCCCGCCTCCTCTGCGGGGCTCTGCTCTGCGCCCCTCCAGCTCGCTTGGCCTGGAGCCCCCCCACGCCCCCCAGGTGGGCGGGTGGTTGGTTTTCCCTGCCTCCCTTCCCTGCTCTAATATTTGGAATAAACTCCCCCTGCTTGATTAGGGGGGTGGTGGACTAGATGACCTTCAAGGTCCCTTCCAACTCTGTTATTCTATGATTTCCTCCCTTCCTTTCAGTCTCACAACAGCCCTGCCAGGTAGGCAGGGAGATCAGGGCTGGGGGGAGCAGAGGGGGGGAGGGAGATTTTGCAGTCGTGACACCGGCAGGGGGAATCTCCCAGCAGAGGCTGACGGGGTTGGACTGGATGACCTTCTGAGTCCCTGCAACAACCCTCACCCACCTCAAGCGGTGCACACAAGACACACAGGCTGGTTGGTAGCTCAAAAGCTCGAGTCCTAACCAAGAACCTAGGAACTGTTCAGGTAGCATTGGAGGATATAAGCTGTTCCAAGTAGGGTGGTTGTTATATTATTATTATTATTATTATTATTATTATTATTATTATTATTATTA